TGCGCCACCCCTCCCCATAAAACACACAAAGACAAAGATCCCCCCTATAGCCTTTAACATTCTGTTGGGGCAAGTGCTGTTAGCGAGTAGCACCTATGAAGGCCGGCACGGCACACGAGGGGGTGGGTGGCCAGCACCACGCCCGGCCGCCTTTGTCTCCCCAGTGGCGATGTTTACTCCACACCGCAACGAGCTACTCATTTGCGGCTGAACCGACAAAAGTAGAGGCCAAGGACCGGTTCAGATAATCGTCACCGGTGTTGACCGTGAGCGAGAATCGAACCCGGGTCGCCAGGTTCGTAGCACAGCGCCCGAACCATTTCAACACTCCCGCTCACCCACACACGCACACATACATACAGACACACACATACAGACACACACATACAGACACACACACATACATACAAACACACACAAACAGACACATACAGACACACACATACATACAGATACACACACATACAGACACACACACATACAAAGACAAAGATCCCCCATATAGCCTTAACAGACTGTAGGGGCAAGTGCTGTTAGCGAGCACCTTTGAAGGCCGGAACGGTACACGAGGGGGTGGGTGACCAGCACCACGCCCGACACACACACACTGTGCATGACACACACACTGTGCATGACACACACACTGTGCATGACACACACACACACTGTGGATAACACACTGTGCATGACACACACACTGTGCATGACACACACACACACACTGTGGATTACACACACACACTGTGGATTACACACACACACACTGTGGATAACACACACACACTGTGCATGACACACACACACTGTGGATGACACACACACACTGTGCATGACACACACACACACTGTGCATGACACACACACACTGTGGATTACACACACACACTGTGGATTACACACACACACACTGTGGATAACACACACTGTGCATGACACACACACACACTGTGGATGACACACACTCACTGTGCATGACACACACTCACACACTGTGGATGACACACACACACTGTGCATGACACACACACTGTGCATGACACACACACACACACTGTGCATAACACACACACAAACTGTGCATGACACACACACACTGTGGATGACACACACACACACTGTGGATGACACACACACACACTGTGCATGACACACACACACACTGTGCATGACACACACACACACTGTGCATGACACACACACACACACTGTGCATGACACACACACAAACTGTGCATGACACACACACACACTGTGGATGACACACACACACTGTGGATGACACACACACACTCTGTGCATGACACACACACACACTGTGCATGACACACACACACACTGTGCATGACACACACACACACTGTGGATGACACACACACACTGTGGATGACACACACACACTGTGCATGACACACACACACTGTGCATGACACACACACACACACTGTGCATGACACACACACACACTGTGGATGACACACACACACTGTGGATGACACACACACACTGTGCATGACACACACACACACTGTGCATGACACACACACACACTGTGGATGACACACACACACTGTGGATGACACACACACACACTGTGCAAGACACACACACACTGTGCATGACACACACTCACACTGTGGATGACACACACACACACACTGTGGATGACACACACACACTGTGCATGACACACACACACACTGTGCATGACACACACACACACTGTGCATGACACACACACACACACTGTGCATGACACACACACACACTGTGGATGAGACACACACACTGTGGATGACACACACACACTGTGCAAGACACACACACACTGTGCATGACACACACTCACACTGTGGATGACACACACACACACACTGTGGATGACACACACACACTGTGCATGACACACACACACACTGTGCATGACACACACACACACTGTGCATGACACACACACACACACTGTGCATGACACACACACACACTGTGGATGACACACACACACTGTGGATGACACACACACACACTGTGCAAGACACACACACACTGTGCATGACACACACTCACACTGTGGATGACACACACACACACTGTGCAAGACACACACACACTGTGGAAGCCACACCCACACACGCTTGGATTACATTGAGAGTCAGGAACACGCGGATTAGGCGGTGGTGGTGCGGGGTGGGGCTTGGGAAGGGACAAACATCCAGGCGAGCGAGGGTGATGGTCCCACATGGCCGAGAATGAAAGTGACAAGGTGACGAGCCCCAGACGCAAGCATTTAAACAACAACAACAACAACAAACCGCAACGCGTCCGAGAAAACAAACAACAACAACAACATCAGCAGCAACACAAAATCCATCCGCGGAGATGGAACGCTGAATTATTATTCCCATCGCGGGATCGCGAGAGACAGCGGCGGCGGCTTGGCAAAGATTTCAATCCAGCAGTGGATATGGGATCACGGCCAACCGATGCTGCCGATTCTGATGACACTCATCAGAGACGCGTGCTGCATAGACTCTCCCCGTGCCGTGCAGACAGCCACTGCTCAATCCACTGCTGGATTAAGGCAGGCCCCAAGCCGCGCGTGAGAGTCGTGGGGGTGGGAGTTGAGTATGTGGTGGGTGCGTGGGGGAGCTATTTGACCACACTTCAGCACGCTGGTCAGCGCGGAACTGGTGAACTAGAGGGGAGGGGGGTGTTCGTCCCCGGGATCGGTTGAGATATCGCTCGCCGCTGATGAGAGGCAGTGCGCGGCACGGGAATCGAACTCGTGTGGCCGCCGCTGGTTCAGCAGCGCCAGGGCGCTCACCCCGCTGCGCCACTCCGCTCGGCACGCCGCTCGGCACGGCGCGACTGCTGCGTGCTGGGAACCCGACGAGAGCTGTCGCTTGTGCCCAGGCGCCTCCTCGCACTGACGGGAGAGCGGCACGGTCGCCACGCGGCTCGTGTCACGACGCACAAAACAAAGATCCCCCGTATAGCCTTAACAGACTGTAGGGGCAAGTGCTGTTAGCGAGCACCTATGAAGGCCGGAACGGTACACGAGGGGGTGGGTGGCCAGCACCACGCCCGACCGCCTTTGTCTCCCCAGTGGCGATGTTTACACACCGCACCAGGTACTCATTTAAGGCTGAGTCGACCTAGGGGAGGCCCAGGACCGGTTCAGATAATCGTCACTGGTGTTGGCCGTGAGCTGGAATCGAACCCGGGTCGCTAGGTTCATAGCGCAGCGCGCTAACCGCTACACTATCGCTCCCCACAACACACACGCACACACGCACACACACACACACGCACACGCGCACATACGCACACACACAAACGCACACACACACGCACACACACGCACAGACACACACACATTCACACACGCGCACACACACGCACACGCGCACATACGCGCACGCACACGCGCACACACACACATGCACACACACACATACACACACGCACACATACAAACACATACACACACACGCACACACGCGCACGCACGCACGCGCGCACACACACACATGCACACACACATACACACACACGCACACACGCGCACGCACGCACACACACACGCACACAGACACCCACGCACGCGCGCGCGCCCATGGGCACAACATCGCCAGAGATCCTTCGCTTTCGAGAGCCATCCGGGCAAGATTTCGGAAGCTGGGCAAAGGTTGCGTCCGGACAGTCGCTCACATGGGCGACTGCTTCCTTGCTTCCTTTGTTCGCGCATCGTCTCACCACGCTCAGAGCGGCAGAGGGCGGTGCAGTCGACGGCGTCTGTTGTACTCAACTTCTGTGCTCCCCCCCCTCCCGGCCTCACGAACCCCGAGCTGAATTGGCGTCGTGAAGCATGGACCGCATGGCCCCCGTACGAAGCGCAAGCGCTGTGTGTGTGTGTGTAGACAGCCTCATCCAGCAGTGGATTGGACATGTCCCTGCAGCCCGATGCGTGCGTTTTAACGGGGCGTAGGTAACCCTGTCACTGATGATTTTCCTGCTCGTGTTGGTCGCCTTGAATGAAATGGCACGCGACTCTAAGCCAGGGCCGTAACGAGTGACTTCATTGTGGATGTGGTGTGACGGGCGCGTGGATATCTCTCCCGCTCGACGAATGCAGACAGATCCTGCCCGAATCGATCCCGACACGTGGAATATGTCGCCTCGGTCACAGACAACGATCACCACCAATAAAACCCGCGCAGACTGTTGGCGCAAAGTGCTGTTTGCGAGCACCTATCAAGGCCGGCACGGCACACGAGGGGGTGGGTGGGCCAGCACCACGCCTGACCGCCTTTGTCTCCCTAGTGGCGATGTTTACACACCGCACCAGGTGCTCTCTATATATGTTCCAGAACGCTGCTTTGTGGGCTGCCTTGCGAGTAGGGATTATCGGCCTAAGGCACTACCACTAGATTACAAAGTAAGCCTATCCATAATAATCCTATATTGTTGCAATGTACCCCCTACGTGTATCCATATCATGTCACAAGAATACAGCACTTGTCACGAGGACGCTATAAGGCGAGATGGATTGGGCTTGCCACATCCATTGAGCACCAGTCATAGGCAAACGACACTTAACATTCGTCAAATCAGCTGGGTCCTCTATAGCTTTGCTCAAAACAAAGACAAATATCCCCCGTATAGCCTTAGCAGACTGTAGGGGCAAGTGCTGTTAGCGAGCACCTATAAAGGCCGGCACGGCACACGAGGGGGTGGGTGGCCAACACCACGCCCGGCCGCCTTTGTCTCCCCAGTGGCGATATTTACACACCGCACCAGGTACTCATTTGAGGCTGAGTCGACCTAGGGGAGACTCAGTACCGGTTCAGATAATCGTCACTGATGTTGGCCGTGAGCGGGAATCGAACCCGGGTCACCAGGTTCGTAGCGCAGCGCGCTAACCGCTACACCACCGCTCCCCACACATACATACACACACAAACAGTGAGCGGTGCATGTAACGCATCAGGTTAGCAACTTACCCTCCAAGCAGTACGCTCCGGCCACTGAAAGAGTCCCTCCGAGCGGCACGTTTCCCGCACGGCCAAAGACCCAGACGAGACATGAGCCGGACGCAAACTTATTCACGACGTCGTTTTAACTCGCTAGGCGACCCGCTGGTAACCCGTCCTCCATGCCGCTCGCCTCGCTCTTCAACACGCAGAGCCAGCCAGCCAACCCTATCTACACACCATATGTATGTACACACACACACCTAGCAATTCCCCAGCCCGAGGGGCTATATCGCTATCCCCGCCTAGATCCAAAAACAATGAGTGAATGAAACACGGATCGTGCTGTGAGAACTCGAATACTCCTACACACACACACTCTCGCTCTCTCTCTCTCGCTGCTACTGATTCATGAAAGCTCTATTGATTATACAACTAATAGTATAATTTTTTTGCTATGTTCCAGGTTTAAAAACGACGGAGAGCACGCTCATAATATGATCGCTTGCTTAAAGACACGGATGGGATGCCGGTGAGTCGAGCGCGCGCGCGCATCGGAAGAGGATGGGGAGGAGGAGGTGGTGGTGGGTTGCCTGCGTCGATGTTGTCTGCGGCTCTCCCCGTGTTGCCTGCCCGTGGCGGGGTGTGGTGCCAGGAGGCGTGCTGTGATGTCAACTGTGGTGGTGGTGGTGGTGAAGGAGGGGAGAGTAATGGGGGGCGGGCGGGCGGGGGAGAGACAAGTTGTAATGTCTCCCAGCCATCCCCCCATGTGGCGGAGCGGTGGCGCTGTGGTTAGCGCAATCGGCAGACGAACCCGTTGAGTTCGAATCCCTGAGCCGCGGTGAACGTCAGCGTCGAGCGATATCTGCGCCCGCTCGGAGACGCTTTCATCCGTTCGTGCATTGGCAAAGCGCCGTGCACACACAACGCGCATTCAGCCACCTTCGTACAACCGCCCACCGATTTCGCTCTACGGCAATCATGCCCCCGCTATACCCACCAATCAACACGCCTAACAACATGTGCTTACCGAACGTGATACCCGCGAAGAACAAGGCACCACGCTATCAGCTGCGAAAATAAATTCTCGCCCCTACCTACCACTCGAGCCAACCCCAACGAGTCGTAAACCCACTCACAATACAGTCGACGTAGACTGCACATACACAGTCTATACATGGCACGCGTACGGGTCTATACGTATTTAGAGCACACGTGTAGGCACGGTATACATATACAGTCTACAATAAATGTGCGCGTGTCTGTAGTGTGTGAAACGCGTGGCTTATACCTACCCCGGTACGCGATGCGCGTGCGTTAGTCAGCCAGGTTGAGCGCAGGTTCCGGAGAATCGCCCCAAATCACTTTCCATTCATCGCAAATCCAGAGAATGGAAACTTTATCACCACCGCCACCACCATCGTCAACATCTTCTGCACTGCCATCACCATCAGCAGCAGCAGCAGCAGCAGTCGGAGCCGTCAGCAAGGTTGATCATTAAGCAGCAGCAGCAACACCCAGAGATGGGATGATAATATAATTGCTCCAGTCGCATGTCCTCCATGAAGATCTCCCGCTAGTTTTTCATGGCTTTTTGTTGTTGTTGTTGTTTGCTTATTAACGTTTAGGCGAATTACAACAACGATGATATTATAAGTAGCAGTCGTTTAGTGCTAATAGAATAGCAGCAGTGCGAGCGAGCCATCAACTCACGAGCCTCGCCAACATCCCAGGACTGCCGCCTTAACGCACGGCTCTCCGCTCGCTCTCTCTCGCTCTCTCTCTCTCGCAACTCGCAGTTGCGAGCGGTGACGGAATCGTCGGCAGTAATAGCGTGTTCGTTCGTCTGTGTGTGGTCTGTGTGTGTGCGTCTGTGTGTGTGCGTGTGTCTGTGTGCGTGCGTCCGTGTGTGTGCGCGCGCGTGTGTGTCTGCTATCACGCAAAGGTGGTGGTGGTGGTGGTGGGGGGGGGGTGGAAAACGTGATCTGAATGAAGAATTAATCTGACGTGCCACTCAATGGGTGCTGAGATTCGAGAGAGCGAGACAACCCCGGGTGTATATTATTCACAGTGGGGTGTGAGAGAGAGAGAGTTTGATTCTCGCTCACGGAAAAACTAAAAAAAACACACCAGTGACGATTATCTTCCCGCGGTCGACTCAGCCCAAATGAGTACCTGGTGCGGTGCGTAAATGTCGCCACTGGGGAGACAAAGGCGGCCTGGCGTGGTGCTTTCCACCCCACCCCCTCGTGTGTCGTGTCGGCCTTCTTGGGTGTTCGCTAACAGCACTTGCTCCTACGGTTTTTGAAGGCTATACGGGGGATCTTTGTCTGCGTACATGAAAGGACCCGCTTTTGTTTCTCCACTGCTGGATGAGTGTCTCCTCCTCAAGAGCTGCCACCCGCGCGGTTTGCTGGATATTTTGACCATACTTCACCACGATGGTCAGTGCGGGTCGGTGCGTGTGAAAGGTACTTGGATCGATGATGAATATGCCAGGATATACCTGGACGCGACACCTCACGTACCGTGCAGATACTGGCGTGTTCGCATACGATATGCATACAGCACGCACACACACGCGCGTCTCGTAAATAAATACGCTCTTGCACTAAAATACCGTACACAAATAGTGGCATTCACAGGTATGTCATCATCAGGAGCCATGGTCAGTCCACCGCTGGATGAAGTCCTCCTCCAATGTAACAACACACAGTACGTTGCTATATATTATTCTATTTTTACGAACATAATATACATCGACGTATACCCCGCCCAAGGATTGTAACCTTATCGCGGTGGTGGGGTTTGTGTGTTCCGATGATCCTCAGAGCACTCCAGGTAGGGTCTCCCTTGGCGAACATCTCTGGGGGGGAGTAGAGGTTCCAGACAAGTAGCGGTCCCAACAAAAGTCCCGTCGTGAATGGTTCTGAAATATTTTTTTAAAATCAGGTTACCTCGCCCGGACAAGGGGTAACCGGGGCCAGGCCTGAGGGTGACCGGGTCACTCCACGTTACCCGGTCGTGCCCAGCCCCACACAGCGACGTTGAGCCGTCACGCGGGGGGCCCAAAATCCGCGAGCCTCACCAGGACAAGCGGACGGAGAAACGAACAAACGAAAAAACAAATACCGTGTCCGTGCATGTACAATAATACAAGCGTGCATCTCACCCCGTTGTACACTCGCTATACGCCACTGTCAATGTATCTCACCCACGTGAGAAACATTGCATATTCACAATCGCGTATAACAGAGCCAATGGAAATACACATTGCATGAATCGACTGAATAACTTAACACAAGATGCAAGCCGGCATGAAGATGCTAAACATGCAAGTTTAATAACATAAATTATTTACGTTACAACTGGACACAACTGGGAATCACAATAAGTGTGTGAGGCCTCAGTCTGAGCGGTGATGCGGCCCAGCGGTAGCGACGTTCGCCGCTCGTTGCAGAGAGGTTCGCAGTCCGAGTTCGCCGGCCGCCCTGGTTAATACTGCGTACAGATGATTGGACATTAAACAAGATCCCTCGACGTCATCACAAGAGCAGGCCATTGCGTGCCGGCGTCAGGGTCCACATTTGCCAACTTTCTGTTCAAATGACGTGAGAGAATTACCCGGTCGGGATTACTGTACGCACACCCGCACAGCAGCAGTAGCAGCATCAATCACCACCCCGTGCTGACAGGCTAATGCCCCAAGTCGCTCACCCAAATGAGACTCATCCTGGTTTCTTGAGTTATGATTTGATTGAGATATATATTGTGTAGGGCAGTTATGGAAGGCAGACCGAGATCAAACTGAGAGCAGGTTGCAGTGATTTTGAAATATTTTACTTGGTGTATGTATGTTGGCAACCGCGCAAATCGTAGGTCACAATAATAACAACTAACAAAACTACGTTGCCAACAAAAATAACCCTATTGTACTCTTCTTGGTTCTTTCGGTAAAGTCTACGTGACTTTACCGAAAGAACCAAGAAGATGAACCCCTGCAGTCACGAAAGCTTTAATTCGAAATTTAACCCTATTGTAATCGGTGCACATGCTACTGCTCTGACACTTGCTTCAGAGACAGAAGGCACTGACAGAGAAGAACGCAAAGAGGCTTGGGTATGACGTGATAGCTCGGGAGAGACGACGGACGCGGTGAGGGAGACTGGTGGTGGAACGTCATCCAAACGGCAACGGGAGAGATAGAGCGACGAAATGAGCTCGCGCTCAGGAGCGAGATGGTCTCAATGGCATTGCGAGGTCGTCATTTGACGGTGAAAGATGTGAGGGGGAGACTCATTCATCCAGCAGTGGAGAGACCACTGCTGCTGATGATGATGATCCAGGACCGGTTCAGGTATTATTATTAATATTATTCAAGTTCATTTCAAGTTCATTTATTAGGTATAGCCCTGTGAGCCATTCGGCTCTTGAATCGGGTGCAACCGCAACAAACAAAAAACAAAAACATGAACAAAAAAACATCTTAAAGTGAATATGCGACTGAGTGCAAACAGAAAATCCAAGAAAAGACAGCAAAATATTGCAGAAAAAAACACCACTGACGTTAACAACGGCCAGGGATGGAAATGGACCTCGGGTCGCCGGGTTCACAGTGCAGTGCGCTAACCACTGCTAAAACGACAGTGAATTCTCCCTTCATATGTACATTCATCAAATGCTTTATTTTTTTTTAAAGTAATGGTACCGTGCAAATATTTGAATTGCTGTGGGGCAGTTGTTAAAAGGCACAACGTACACTTTAATTAGTCTATTGTAAAGTATGATGCTTTGGTTAGGTCACTGAAAATCTACTCATTCGTCAACAGCTAATTGGCCACATGTGCGTATACAAGCGTAAAACTAATCAAGATAATGGGAATTGAATCGTGAGTCACTTACGTACACGCAGGGGTAACTAAACAATGGATAGCACATTAATAGCAATAATACTTCACATTAATGCGTGCATAAATATATCGCACGGCCTTTATTTAGCGACGCGCTAATTGAGATGCATACATAGCCTGGATGCGATACACAGGGTTGTAAATTAACAATTTAAACAACAACGGCGACGGAACAACTGCTTAATGGTATATTGTAATTAATGGTAAACTAACTCGTGCACGCATAAACATCATTAGTGTATGTAACAAACAAAAAACTGACATCTAATTTACACGATCAACCGGGATCGTCACCGCGTACGGCTTGACAAGAAGATACACACACACACAAGACGTCCATCGTAGAGGTTGTTTTGGGTTAGATCGCGTAAATATATAAATGTGTCGTTAAACCCTCCACCACCCGACACAGTCAACTAGTGAGGGTTGTCACGTAAACAGAACGTGGCCAATTCGTCACTAGTACAGCACTAGTGTGTAGTGTATAGTGTAGTGTACTAGTACAGCACTAGTGTGTAGTGTATAGTGTAGTGTACTAGTACAGCACTAGTGTGTAGTGTATAGTGTAGTGTACTAGTACAGCACACCGGTGTGTTGATGAAGCAAGTCGTAATTACTGGCGAAACGTCGTACTCAGATTGTAAATGTTGTGGCTTGGCTCTCCAACTCGTGACGAATTGGCTACGTTCTGTTTACGTGACAACCCTTACTAGTTGGCTGTGTCTGGTGGTGG